TACCAACTGTATGTGTGTGTGTATGTGTATGTTAGACCAGTTTATGTGTGTATGTAGGATGTTAGACCAGTTTATGTGTTTATGTAGTATGTTGGACTAGTTTAAGTGTTTATGTAGTTAATAAAACCTTGCTTGTATCACACTTGACGTGTTCATTGTTTGCTCATAACCGGAGTCACTAATCATGCAGATTTACGCTACAAACTTTTGTAGAATTGTACAGTAAGAAAGTTATTTCCCTTAACCAGGAAATTAACGTTCTTAGAATTGACAAGACAGTTGACCCTGAGTGGTCAGCTAAATATCTACAGCGGATCTAAAATATTCATAATTAATCATAACTAGTTATGGTTAATTATTCATATTTCCCATGAGCTGATTCGTTACAACAGCGTTAACCTAATCAAGGAAGGGCTGAATTGCTGCCGTTCCACCTGCTGTCAGAGACTGAATTTGCACTCTCAATCAGCCCGTCTGCTGTTTTTGTTTCATGTAGATGTTTTATGTAGCATAATTCCACAGATAAAGTTAGACTGTTCTGTTTTTGCTTTAAATCAGTCTCGATTTAGTCCACTGAAGGCAAGTTGAGGATGAACCCTTGTGCAATTTATTGAAACATAGTGAAATCCAAAATACAAACAAAGACTTGACTTGAACAGACTTGACTTGGCATGTACAGAAACACAACTCACCAACAGCAGGTACACAATACACAGAAAAAACAGGAGTGAAGGCAACATGAGGAATACTTACAGTATATCAATCAATGAGGGTAACATGACAAGAACCAACCAATGAGAAGACCGAACTAATGAACATGATAACCAATGAGAATGTGACACATGCAACCAAGGAACCAATTAAAACATAGCACACAGACAAGGGAAGCAAATAACATGGTCATATGAGGAGCAAGGAACACATTACAAACCAGAACTAGACTAAGAGCATGAATACAAAGTAAAAGACATGAACACCAAGAGAGCTCAGGGTCAGAGAGCTCTTGGATTTCATCAGAAATATCATAATTTGTGTTCTGAATATGAACAAAGGTCTTGCAGGTTTGGAACGACATGAGGGACGTGAGTAATTAATGAGTGAAAGCAAAACTTTCTCTAAAAACTAAAAAAATATTCAGAGATATGATTGACTTGAACTTGATTCATACAAATGAACAGCAGACAAGCACAGCCAATGTTATTTGCATATGAAATTCTTGAAGGATAAAGGAGGAACATGGAATCGAATAGAGTGGAATGAACATAATATTTGTCATGAAATATTTGCCATGCTCCAACATTTCCTGATTACAATCATTGCCATGTTTTTTCTCCAGCAACCTCTCTCAGCAGAGTTCTGCTGCTAGAGAACACATAGATGTTGATCTTTCAGAGAAGTGCTTTAATGAAATTATAAGCATCACATTTCTGTTTTTTCAATCCCCCCAAAATTGACACGTCATTGTAAGTGCCTCAACACAAATACAAAAGAAGAGTTGAAATAATTTTTGTGGTAATCAGGATTGGATGAAAGACATTTATGAAACAATTGTTAGGAATGCAGAAGAATGTAAATTCTACCTACTTTGACTGATGCCTCATACAAATATGAGTAAAAGTGGGCAGAATAGGTTAATTTCATTTGATAGAATGTTGTAATGTCAAAGTAATTGCAATACAAAAGTTATTTTCTATGGCCACGAAAATATAATTTCTTAGAGATGATATGAAATTACACTGAATGTTCGCTGGACGAACAGATTAGTTGATGGTTAATCAATTGATTAGAATATTAATTCCGCTACAGTTACTACTGGCAGCTGATATAAAATTTATGTAATTAATTGTAATTATTTATATACCTTTCCCTTTTGAGCTAATTTACATATCTGTGGCTGGAACGAAACCGCTCTCCTCAGTGCCTACCAGCAGGGCTTGAATCCTCACATCCGTGCGCAAATGGCCATCTATGATGATATTATGGGGTTAGAGAGCTTCATACAAAGAGCCACACGCATCTCCCAACGGTTGTCAGCCCACCAGCCTGACGAAGCCGTCCACCAGCTTGCAGCAGCCACCAGCAGTCCCCCAGTACCAGAACCCATGCACGTGGATTCCACCAGACTCACTCGTGCTGAACGCGCTTGCCGCCTAGCGGCTGGACTATGCCTGTACTGCACTGCTCCAGGCCATTTCATCAAGCCTGCCCCGTCAGGTCCCCACGCCCTACGGTGAGTACCATTCAACTCGAACCAGTAATCTCAACTTTATCCTTGTTACCAGTACAACTCCTCACTGCTGATTGTTCTGTTTCAGTCTCCGCCCTTGTCGACTCGGGCTCTTCGGGCAATTTCATATCACGAGACATCCTAAGCCTCCTCCATCTGCCCAGCCAACGTCAGGCCCAAGAGTTCTGAGTCGAGACCATTCAGGGAAACTGCTAGGGCGTGTGCGGGTCAACTACCAAACCCCGCCGATGAAGCTGAAGATCAGATGTCTGCATGAGGAGACTATCACATTTCTGGTACTGGAGGGATCCACCGTCGATATCATCCTGGGACACCCCTGGCTCACTCTCCACTCTCCAGGAGTCAGATGGGAACCTTGTGAGGTTACTCGCTGAATCGAGTCGTGCTGGCAAAATTGTCTCGTGGCAATCCCCAAACCACCTGCATGTCTTGTTTGAGCCCAAATTGCCTCCACCCTAGTTGAGAGTCCGGAACCTCAAGAAACACCCACTGTTCCATCTGACTATGTGGCATTCCAGGATGTTTTTAGTAAGCAGGCTGCCACCCGCCTTCCACCTCATCGGCCATGGGACTGTGCCATCGACCTGCTGCCTGGGATGAAACTCCCCAAGGGTAGAGTATACCCTCTGTCCATCCTGGAGCACAAGGCCATGGAGAATTACATCCAGGAGGCTCTCAAACAGGGATTCATCCAACCATCCACCAGCTGCCTCGAGCTTCTTCTTCGTGGGCAAGAAGGATGAGGGCTTGAGGCCGTGCATCGATTATCACACGCTGAACTCCCAGATGGTAAAGCTGCCATACCCACTTCCCCTGGTCCCAGCTGCCCTCGAGGAACTCTGTGGAGCCCGCATCTTCAAGTTGGACCTGCGGAGCGCATACAACCTCGTTCGTATCTGGGAAGGTGACGAGTGGAAGACTGCATTCATAACTCCCGCAGGCCACTATGAATATCGGGTCATGCCGTATGGCCTAGCTAACTCACCTTCAGTCTTCCAAGGCTTCATGAACGAGATGTTCCGGGATTTCCTTTACGCTTTGTGATAGTCTATATCGATGATATCCTTATATATTCCCGGAACCTGGCCGAACATCGCCACCACGTGAAGCAGGTCCTCCAGAGGCTCCGACAACATCACCTGTACCTTAAACTGGAGAAGTGGAGAAGAATTCCATCGCTCCACGGTTCAGTTCCTCGGTTACGTCATCAGCCGGGATGGGATTCAGATGGACCAGGGGAAGGTAACAGCCATCAAGGAGTGGCCGCAGCCCCAAACTGTTAAGGACCTGCAAAGATTCCTCGGATTCGCAAACTTCTACTGAAGGTTTATCAAGAACTTCAGCATA